TGGCATAGATGACAAATTCTTCACTTTTTTTCTACTGTGTCTTGGGCTACATGGGTATCTTGGCCATCGCCAGCTTTATTGTGGCTTTTCTTGCCCGTAAATTACCTGACAGCTTTAATGAAGCCAAGTTCATCACCTTCAGCATGTTGGCCTTTTGCAGTGTGTGGATCTCCTTCTTTCCAGCCTATCTGAGCACAAAAGGCAAAGCCATGGTAGCTGTGGAGGTCTTCTCCATCTTGGCCTCCAGTGCTGCATTACTAGGATGCATATTCTTACCAAAGTGCTACATCATTGTTTTGCGGCCTGAACTCAACTACAGGGAGCAACTCATAAAGAGAAATTAGTACCCAATGTTGTCTTTCTTCCTAGTAAAAAATGCTGACAACAAAGAATAAAAGGACCATTTGCTATTTACAGAAACCATGTAGTTTTGATTTTGGCCTAAGAAGATATATGGAGTTTTATTTTTATTACGGTTCATCATGCAAGTTAGGTGTTCAGAGTGGATTTGGCAGGTTTTTTTCACACAACAAATCCTTTCCAAGGGACTGGGATTGGCAGATGTGGATTTTTTTGGGGGGTGGTTGTTTTGTTTTTTTTGTAGGGTGTGAGCTGTTTTGAATAAAGCATCTTGTGCAATCGACTCGTGGTCAATTTGTCAATACTGATGTTGTTTAAGTGAATCTCCAGATGTTTTGGAATAACATCCAAAGTGCCTATTACTATTGGTACTAACTTAGCTTTATTTTGCCCTGGTCATTTTTTTTCCTTCTTTTTAACAATCCTGTAATCCTTTGCATTGGATGGAGTTCAGACAACTTAATGGAGATGAGCATTTAATGGCCGGATGCCCTTCTTGATTCCTATATGGAGCTCACAGCAGATATTTTGTCTGTCCCCACCAGAGAGAGAACTATCTCCCGCTACCTAGGATTAAAATCACATCCTCCTGATTGTGAGGAGTGAGATCCACCTTTAGGCTACCATGCTATCTGTTAATGTTAAGATTTATTATGTTTACTCATTCCAAAATGAAAATTTTTTATGATGTAAAAAATATGTGGAGACTCTAGAAAGAGTGCAGAGGAAAGCACCCAAAGATGGTTAGGGGACTGGTGGCTAAAACATATGAAGAACGGTTGCAGAAACTGAGCATGTCTAATTTAATGAAAAGAAGGACTAGGGGAGACTGTGTTCCAATATCTCAGGGGCTGCCACAAAGAAGAGGGAGTCAAGCTATTTTCCAAAGCTCATGAGGGTAGGACAATGGGAAGCAATGGGTGGAAACTAATTAGTTTAGTGGAATCTAATCAAGGAGAGAAGCAACTTAGAACTAAGGAGAATTTTCCTGACAGTTAGAAAAATTAATCAGTGGAACAACTTGCCTCCAGAAGTTGTGAATGCTGCAACCCTGGACATTTTTTAAGAAGAGGTTTGATAACCATATGTCTGAAGTGGTGTAGAGTTTGCTGCCTAAGCAGAGGGTTGGACTAGAAGACCCCCAAGATCCCTTCCAACTCTGTTATCCTATTCAAAATAACTGCTCATACTGCTGCATTTTTAACTCTTTTTCCAAGATTCTATAACTTAACCCATTCTCCTTTTCAACATTGCAAGATAAGAAGACTGCATGAACTAAGCATGCATTGGGGATATAGTGACTGAACCCTTGTCATGGTCGGATCATTCTCTCCTTTGCCTTGACCTTCGAACCGCTACACCTCACCGCAGGGAGGCGGAACCAATGAGGTAGTTCTGCCCCAGGCGCCTGATGGACCCTGATTGGTTCCAGACCGAGCTTGGGCCGTTTCCTGAGGCTCTGGCTCACGGCTCGACCGAAGACCTGGTGGCTGCCTGGGATAGGGCGGCCGCTGGAGCTTTGGATCGGGTCGTGCCTTTGCGGCCTCTGACCCAGCGCCGATCTCGCTTGGCTCCTTGGTTCACCAAGGAGCTGAGGGAGATGAAGCGCTGGAAAAGACACCTGGAGAGTGGTTGGAGGGCCAGCCAGTCTGAATCTGACCGAACACTGGTAAGGTCTCATATTAAGACTTACCTTGTGGTGATAAAAGCAGCAAAATGTAACTATTTTTCCGCTCTTATTGCATCATCATATAACCGCCCAGCTGCCCTGTTTAGGGTGACCCGCTCCCTGCTCCTTCAGGAAGCGCGGGAGGACCCCTTGGAGGGTAGAGCTGAGGACTTTGTACAGTATCTGTGTGATAAAATCGCTCAGATTCAGGAACATCTGGATTCTGACGGGGTAGATTCAGGGGGGAGGATGGAGGCAGGTCTTGAGAACATTATCTGGGAAGAGTTCGATTCTGTGACTCCCGAAGACGTGGACAGGATACTGAGTAGAATGAATGCTGCCACATGTTTATTGAACCTGTGTCCCTCCTGGTTGGTGCTGGCCTCTCAGGAGGTTACACGAGGCTGGCTACAGGGAATAATAAATGCTTCTCTGAGTGAGGGTGTCTTTCCCGCCGCCTTGAAAGATCCGGCAATATTGGCAAATTACTGTCCAGTCTCCAACCTTCGCTTTGTTGTGAAGGTTGTTGAGAGTGTGGTAGCACGACAGCTCCCTCAGTACCAGGATGAATCGGCTTATCTGGATCCGTTCCAGTCGGGCTTCAGGCCTGGGTACAGCACGGAAGGCCCCTCAGATGTTTTCCATATGGCTGTCCTTCCGTGACAGCTAGGCCTCATCAGAAGATATATTACCAATAATGGGATTTAGCTGTTTTTTAATGTAATCTCCAAACAAGCACATTTCTCCCTTATAATAATGTGAATAGAGAGGGTCCTTTAGTGTTCATGTATCTGACCCTGTATGATTCCTACTTTATTCACATTACTACTATTTGACAATTTTCATTTCTGGGTGGAAATTTTAACTGGGTTGGAAACACCGCTAGCTACTTTAAATAAAAGAATTCAGAAGGACAACAGGATGAGGATTTGTAAGGTGACTTATAACACGTGAAGTAATTATGTTGAAATGGATGACTATATCCTGCTAAAGAGGAAGCTGGAGATTAGGGAGGCCCTGCTGCCTTATTGGAGACAGGAAGTAAGAAGGCAGGGTGAATCTTGCCTGGTTTATTTTTGCCAGGTTATTCTGTAATATATCATATCATGAGCAAAAGTGAATAAATATTAGTAAAAATTAAAGCCTCCAGAAGTAGGAATTAAAACATCCAAGAAAAGAATGTATAACTTTTTACTGAATGTATTTGAAGAACTATAGAAAAGTGAAAAAGAATATCTCCAAAATATCTTCCCAATTCTACTTCTTCAAGTATTTTCAAAGCAATCAGTCAATTATTAGGTGACCCAACAAAAGAGGGAAAGATGTTGGTCAGCTAGGCAAAAAAAACAAGGCCAGCTTGCCAATGTTTCAAAGGTAAATTATATACCTTGCAAATAACTGAAATCAGTCTGTTATCGAAGTAGGCCAAAACCATCAAAGGTTCTCAGCAGAAGGGAATAGGAATGGAGAAACAACCCATATAATTACTTCTAGAGCCACATGAGGGCACAAAGGGATTGCTTCGTAGGTTTATTTGCACAGATTATCTTCCTCCTGTTTTATCAGCCAGAACTTCTCTTTGAATGATAGAGGCAGACATTTTCTCCATAACAATAGAATGAAGATGTTCCTTTTGATGTTCTCCATGCACAGAATAGCTACTCTAAGATGCCCTGCAAGTGAAGCTTTCCCTGTTCCACATGAGTGGTTCCAGCCTGGTGACCTCGTCATTGGTGGGATGGTGTCTCACATTTTTTACCAGTTTTATGAAATTGAATTAAAGGACCATCGTTCTCTAAAACATTATCCCTTGCCAATGTAATATTTTTTTTCCTTCAGATGTGTTCCCCAATTTTCCTGAACTCCCCAAATATTTCTTATATGATTAAAAGATTTTTATGAGCATAATGCAGATTTTGTATCTTCTTTTGTCTTTTGAGCATATATGGTTGTAGAAGAATAGAATAGAATAGAATAGAATAGAATAGAATAGAATAGAATAGAATAGAATAGAATAGAATAGAATAGAATAGAATAACAGAGTTGGAAGGGACCTTGGAGGTCTTCTAGTCCAACCCCCTGCCCAGGCAGGAAATCCTACACCACTTCAGACATAGTTATGCAATATCTTCTTAAAAATTTCCAGTGTTGGAGCATTCAGAACTTCTGCAGGCAAGTTGTTCCACTTATTAATTGTTCTAACTGTCAGGAAATTTCTCCTTAGTTCTAAGTTGCTTCTCTCCTTGATTAGTTTCCATTCATTGCTTCTTGCCCTACCCTCAGGTGCTTTGAAGAATAGTTTGACTCCCTCTTCTTTGTGGCAACCCCTGAGATATTGGAACACTGCTATCATGTCTCCCCTAGTCCTTCTCTTCATTAAACTAGACATACCCAGTTCCTGCAACTGTTCTTCATATGTTTTAGCCTCCAGTCCCCTAATCATCTTTGTTGCTATTCTCTGCACTCATTCTAGAGTCTCAAAATCTTTTTTACATTGTGGCGACTAAAATTGAATGCAGAAGAAATGTTTTCTTTAAGTTAATATCTGTTTCGTGAAAATGCTTTAAAGTCTTAAAGTCTTTTTCATTCACACATTAAATGTTTGCCAAAATAAGGTTTTTTTTTTAAAGAATATTTGGTGAGCTGAACTATTTTATTTAAGATCTGCATTATGACTCCTCGCAAAATATGCAAGCAGTAATTGCATGATATTTGTTTAATTTGTTCATATTCTGTTTGTGCTAAACTGAAAGAAAATAAAAGTAGTCGCTTGGAAATAGCTTATTATCCTCTTGGCTATAATGCTTATTTATTGTAAGGCATGGAAATACATGGAAACACTCTATAGATTACTCCAGTATTTTATGATTTGCAATTCTCATTGTCTTACTTCCATCAAATAAAAAAATGTATATTATTCATTTGGAAATGATGCCAAATTATAACCATGTTTAAATGTATTAATCAATAGGATTTTTTAAAACTTATCTGCAGTGTAGTCACCAAATTCTATCAACACGCCCTCGCCTTGGCCTTTGCTGTGAAGGAGATCAATGAGGACTCCAAGATCTTACCTAACGTCACTCTTGGGTTCCATATCTACGACAGTTACTACAATCCAAGGATGACCTACCGAACCACTCTGGACCTGCTTTTCAAATCTAAGGGATTTTTTCCTAACTACAAATGCGATAACCAGAAGAATCTCATGGCCATTATTGGAGGATTAGATGCTTCTACTTCTTCCTGTATGGCAGAAAGTATAAATCTCTTCAAGATTCCGCAGGTAATTTGGGGAGAGCAGTAGGAGGTAAATTGGTCTTCTTTTGTAATGAACGTTAGAGATCATTCTCTAATATTTTTCCCTCCATCGTCATGAATAATGACTCTCTTTCTTTGTTAAGCTGACCTATGGCTCCTTTGCCCAAGAAGAGCTCCAGGTTACTAAGTTCTCTTCACTTTATTACTTGGTCCCAAAAGAGGAGCATCAATACAGTGGAATTATACATCTTCTTCTCCATTTTGGATGGACGTGGATTGGAGTCTTTACATTCGATAAGAATAAGGGAGAACATTTCTTGCAGAAACTGAATCCGTTGCTTTCCCAAAATGGGATCTGTTTAGCCTTCACACAAAAGATTCCACAGCAAGCCCCATTTGAAGACCTATCAGAATTTCTCGAACTAATCTTAACTATTTTTAATAAGCTGATAGATCAGAAAGCCAATGTTTTCCTTGTCTATGGTGAACCATTCACGATGCTGTGGCTCAGAACTATTGTCTTTTTACGTGATTTTGAAAGTAAAGAGAGTGCGTCATTTAGGAAGGTTTGGATCCTGATGTTCCCAATTGATTTCACTCTGACAGGATTTCAAAAGAGCTGGGATCTCCAGATGTTCCATGGGGCTCTTTCCTTTACTGTTCATTCAAGAGATGTTCAAGGCTTTAAAGAATTTGTTCAAGTCATCAAACCTTCAATCCACAAAGATGGATTTCTTCAAGACGTTTGGGAGCAATTGTTTGACTGTTCACTTTCAAATGAAGAATCACCCTCAATGATCAATGAAACTTGTAGTGGAGAAGAGAATTTGGAGAATCTGCCTGGTGCTCTGTTTGAGTTGCAGATGACTGGCCAAAGCTACAGTATCTATAATGCTGTTTATGCAGTGGCACATTCTTTGCATGAGGCAGTGAGATCAAAAGCCCCACACAGAGAAAGTCAAAGGTTTGAATTTCAAGCTTGGCAGGTGATGCCTACATGCTACATTTACATTGTACATCTTACTCAAATTTAATTTAACTCTTAATTTAAGTTATTGTTTAAACAAAAATCTATATTTTGAAAGACATTCTCCATAGCAGTACTATTAACGTCTTTTTTTATGTATCGGAAAATATTAATGTAAATTAGATTAGATTAAATCAGATCTGAATAAGCAACCTGGAATTAAGGGGAAACTTCCTAAGAATGAGGACAATTAACCAGTGGAAAAGCTTGCCACTAGAAATTGTGGGTGCTCCATCACTGGAGGTTTCTAAGAAGAGACTGGACAGTCACTTGTCTGCAATGGTATAGGACCTCCTGCTTGAGCAGAGGGCTGGTACTAAAAGACCTCCAATTTCCCTTCCAGCTCTATTCTGATGAAAGATCAGACCAAACTAGATTGAGATAGATGATAGATAGATAGATAGATAGATAGATAGATAGATAGATAGATAGACGGACGAGGATGGATGGATGGATGGATGGATAGATAGATAGATAGATAGATAGATAGATAGATAGATAGATAGATGATAGGTAAAATAAGATTATGGATGGTGTAGACTTGATTCATTGTTTAAATAGTGAGTCTATATCATATTCAAAATAGATTGTTTTCATTTTGCTTTTATTGAATGATTCCCCCACCCCTATATTTCCTTAAAATCATTTCTAGAGAAGATCTATACAGTTCCATGCAATATAGATTATCAATTTTCCCCATGTAGTTATTTACGCATTATTGCAAGAATGGGAATAATGAGTAAATAAAATTTGAATAGTATTGTTAGCTCCTTCGAACTCCTCTCTTTCATTCTCTTTGAAGTAGCTCCATCCATTTCTTCAAGGCATTTCTTTCAACAATTCAGCTGGGGAGAGAGTGTTCCTGAATGAGAAAGGGGAAACAACAGGTGGATTCGACATCACCAACTTGATCACTTTTCCAAACAGATCCTTTCAGAAAGTTACACTTGGAGCCTTAGATCCCAGTGCTCCAAAAGGGAAAGAATTATTTATTGATGAAGATGTGATTGTTTGGCACCCAGCTTTTAACCAGGTATGGACACATTTTTTTTTTATAAAAAGTTTTTTTTATTTTTTACACAAACACACACACATACAAACATACAATGAATTTTTGCTGAACAGAATATTTGGCCGGTTAACAAATTTAAACAGTTTTTAGTCCTTTCAACTAAAATTACAATTTCTATAGCTCATTTTTGCCATAGTATTTATTTTCATCTATTTTTTTACCAATATTACCCTTCATTTTCATCTCTAATTTTAACCAAATTCCATTTTTCCCTTCTATTCTACATTAAACCCCTTCCCATTGTCATCTGTTTTTGTATCCATCATCAAATTAATTAATTTTGTGGTATTACAGTTGTTCAATTCTTATAGGAATAGTAAACCCACTTATTTTATAGCATACATTTCCTTAAATAATACAGTCCAACATTTTAATATAAATCAATTAATTATGTAACTATATTTTTCATTTATATATTCAAACAGGAAATAAAAATAATATAAATGTAGATATTAATCATTTCTACTTTCACCGCAATATGCAATCAAGGTATTTCATTTATTACAATTTCCTTAATTAAATTTAAAATATTCTAGCTGTTATCCTCTAATCATATAGCTTTCCCTATGTATTATTCCAAATCATTACTTAATCATTTCTACACACACCAACATAAACCATTAAAAGTATTTCAATTATTACAATTTAAACTTATTCATATTTCTAAAAAAACCCTCATCATTATCTAAATTTCAGAAATACAAATGATAATATTCCAATTATTATTCAATTCATTTTCACCATCATATGATTTACCATTATTTCTTACTACAATTCATATTTCAGTTCTAGTTATATGCATCATGCATCATTAGTTATATGCATCATTCCTCTTTCATTTTTTTCTCCTTTTCTCTCTTTTCATTTTTATTTTCACCTTTTTCTTTCCCCCTTTTTCCTTTTGTGCTTTAAAATCCTGATCTCTCCTGTTTTGCCCTATATTTCCCATTGTTTCCCCTCTCTTTTCTCTTTTTTTAATTTCACCACTATTTATCCCACCGTTTATCCCAGTATTATCATTCTGTATTTCAAAGTCCTTGATTCTCCTATTTTGCCCTATATTTCCTGTTGTTTTCTACCTTTTTTCTCTCTTTTTTATCTTTTCACTGTAAATCCCAGTGTGATCATTTAAGTTCTTTATATTCTTTCTGTTCAGGTATGGACACATTTAATGGATTATATTGTGATCGATTATGACATCGTGAAGATGCCTTTTTCCGTAAAGCCATATTGAACATAGTCTCTGTATAAATCTGTACAATTTATAAATGTAATTTCTGTTCTTTGAAAGAAGAAAGGCATTACTCTCCATATATATAAAAGTGACATTACAATGAGAACACATTTCATATTTGTGTTGCAATTATTAATTGAAAAGATGTATACCTTTATAAATCAAGTTTAAGAAAATTTAATAGCCCTTTGAGAAGTCAAATATTGCTTCCTGCCATAATGAAGAATTAGAAACACTTCTAAAAATCTCCCTTTGCAAAACCTTTCATGTTTATGACCAGGTACTTCCAATTTCTCTGTGTAATGACCGTTGCTCCCCCGGATACTGGAAGAAAGGAATGGAAGGAAAACAATTCTGTTGCTACGACTGTGTTCTATGTCCAGAAGGGAAGATTTCAAATCAAAAGGGTAAGTGAGACAATCCATCAACTTTTTAAAAGTTAGATTAAAGCAAATTGTAATGCACGATAGAGGTAGTCTTCCTAAATACAGGCCCAAATTATATATCCATTAAGCTGTAGAACGCAGAAGCACACTAAAGATTGGTGTAGAGTTCAGGCTAATATCTTGTCTTGATGGTAAATGTAGGCAATTCATTTTGTTCGTTCGACCCAACCTTTTATCTATCTATATATATAAATGGCTCTCTCTGTCAGGGCATTTATTAATCCCATGTTTGGCTCTGGGACTAATGACCCTGGTTTAGAGGAGGAGATGAATCGAGGCTTATTCCAAGTTGCAATAATCTGAAAAGAAACGCGAGAAAGGTTTCTAATAAAACTCATTTATTTGTTATAAAGAAAATAAAACACCTCACTAACTAAGAAAAGTTAATTGTTACATTTTTGAAAGTAATTCTTGCCGGCTATCTGAGCCGGACCTCTGGCAAGAGAACAAAGGAAAGAGTGTGAAAAGGAATGTGGGTGGATGGACATGTGTAGTAGCTTACTGATAAGGAACTTGGCAAACTACAGTAAGTCTATTAGTCCAAAAATAATGAAGCTCAGCTGGGAAATAAAATAACGCAGTGACATTCCCCTTCTTTGCCAGTTGAGCGAATATCAGTTCATCATCAAATAAAGCACATCTTCTCACGCAGATACTCGTGTTGAGCTGCTGGAAGTGGTTTGTTGAGCATATCAGCAATTTGATCATGTGTAGATACATATTGCATTTTGACAAAACCTTTTTTCACTAAATGTTTTATGTTTTGGTAACGGATGTCAATGTGTCTGGACCTAGAACCTGTGAAATGAGATTCAGAAATATAAACCACCGATTCATTGTCTTCCATCACGGTGATCGGTCGGATCGGGTGTGTCCAGATATCTGTGACTAAAGCATCAAACCAAGTTAGAGAATTACATGCATCTGAAACACAAGCATATTCAGCTTCAGTAGATGAACAAGAAACAAAATTCTGTTTACGTACTTGCCAATAAACAGGACATCCATTTAAGAACATCATATAACCTGAAGTACTTTTACGTGATTTCTTATCACTTGCCCAATCAGAATCTGCATAACAACATAATTCTGCATAATCAGTATGTGTTGGTTCTAACAATAACTTCATGTGTTTAGTGTGTTTTATGTATTTCAATAATTTCTTAATACATGTCCAATGAAACTGTTTTGCCTTACCTACGTGTCGTGATAAGAGATTAACACTAAGTGCAATGTCGGGTCTGGTCCAACTACTAATGTATAACAGTGACCCAATGACTGAACGATAAAGCGTTTGATCCTCGAATTCAGGACTTGCTTCTTGTGTCAAGTTGTGAAAATCTGTTTGCATGGGTGTCTTTGTTGTGTTAGCATCTTTCATGTTGCAATGATGCAAAACTTGTTCAATTTTATCTTGTTGTGAAAGACTAAACCCCTTCTGTGTCTTTTCAATCTGAACACCTAAATAAGTGCTAATGTGACCTAATGATTTCAATGTGAAGTATCTCTGCAAAGCTTTGGCAAAAATCTCACTCATTTGCTTATTTGGACCAATATAAACAATATCATCAACATAAACAAGAACTATCTCATATGCATTGTTAGATCTTTTTGTGAACACGCACTCATCAGTTTCGGACTTAATAAAGCCCATTGAATTTAGTTTGTCAGTAAGACATAAATACCACATTAAACCAGATTGTTTCAGACCATAGAGACTTTTGTTTAGGAACCAGGTATCCCCTTCTTGTTGTCGGAATCCTGGAGGACTTTTCACGTAGATCTCTTCACCTAGGTCTGCATGTAGATAAGCCGTGTCAACATCAAACTGGAAAACTTCTAAATCAAGGATAGTTGCAGTTGCTAAAGCAATTTTTACACTCTCAGTTCTGACTGTCGGTGAGTAAGTATTTGTGTAGTCCTCAGGATAACGTTGAGCGAAACCCTGAGCTACAAGTCTGGCCTTGTACGGTGACTCACCATTTGGTTTCTTTTTGATTCTGTAGACCCATCGAGTGCCAATGACCTTTTTGTTTGCTGGAGGTTTTGCAAGTTGATGTTGACACGGCTTATCTACATGCAGACCTAGATGAAGAGATCTACGTGAAAAGTCCTCCAGGATTCCGACAACAAGAAGGGGATACCTGGTTCCTAAACAAAAGTCTCTATGGTCTGAAACAATCTGAGTGGTTATGTAAGACATGTATAACTTGATCAGGGAGACTTTCATGTGACATATGCAGTGCTCTTTGCCTTAATTGGCCTGACACAGGATCCACCAGGGGGAGTGTCTTTGGCTCTGAGCAAGAAGACAATATGGCGCTTTTTGAAAAATTTAAGTTATCTCCCATATCTTGCTCAAGCATAGATATAGCCATTTTTGCCTGGGATAGCTGCTGTTCATAGAGTTTTATACGGTCACGAAAGGCTTTCATAGCCATCTCACGCTGGGTGAGCTCAGGGCTTTGAGAAGAGTAATGAATTGTTTCTCTCTCTGTGTGGGAGGAATTTTGCTCAGCAGTGTGCTTTGGCCTTGCATCGAGCATTACAAATTCAGAAGGTTCTGGGGAGACTTTTTCAGAGCTTGGAAGATCAGAAGAAAATGTTACTGACCTCAGTCGTAAATCATCATCTTCAAAAACAGCTTCTGTCTTATCTGTCTCCATTTCTGTTCCCACGGCTTTTTCTTGTTCCAGGCGTGTGGCTGTAGTAAGGGGCTGGAAATCTGGAAACCTCCTTTCTGCCACCTTCTCAGCAAAATACATTTTGTATTTGTTTTACTTCTGTTTCGGCATCTCAGCAATATAATTAGCGTACCTCAGTAGCTAAAAACTAATTGCCTATGCGCTCTTATCAGAAATAACAAAACAAGGAAAAAAAACATAAATCAAACCGTCCGAGAGCTACCAGAATGTCAGGGCATTTATTAATCCCATGTTTGGCTCTGGGACTAATGACCCTGGTTTAGAGGAGGAGATGAATCGAGGCTTATTCCAAGTTGCAATAATCTGAAAAGAAACGCGAGGAAGGTTTCTAATAAAACTCATTTATTTGTTATAAAGAAAATAAAACACCTCACTAACTAAGAAAAGTTAATTGTTACATTTTTGAAAGTAATTCTTGCCGGCTATCTGAGCCGGACCTCTGGCAAGAGAACAAAGGAAAGAGTGTGGAAAGGAATGTGGGTGGATGGACATGCGTAGTAGCTTACTGATAAGGAACTTGGCAAACTACAGTAAGTCTATTAGTCCAAAAATAATGAAGCTCAGCTGGGAAATAAAATAACGCAGTGACACTCTCTCTCTCTCTCTCTGTGTGTGTGTGTGTGTATGTATGTGTGTATGTTCCAGCATAACTTTGGAATGCCACAAGCAATTTCAACCAAACTTGGTACACAGATGACTTACTCTCTGGAAAAAAATAATGTCAAATCACAGCATTTGTGACAGTGATAGCGTGAATTTTGGATTCAAGTTCTGTTAAGATACAGCCTGTTGTGCCTTAAAATGGTTTCTACTGTACAGCCCAGTGGAGTTGCCATGGTAACGGCTTCACAGTACTCCATAAGGGGGCTCCCTCTGTTAAGGGGAATTGGTTCTTAAATACCCGTGCAATGCCAGGTTATCAGCTCGTTTTCAAATAAAAAGACTGATGTTTCTTTAGGTTGCTCACATTTTAGAGTTTAAAATCTAGAAGAGGTTAACGAGATTACATTGATTTGTACTTCAGAGTTAGTACTTCTACTTCTTTTACCATCATAACAGTTTTCTTCTCTGTGCTTTGGAAAAATTAATAAAGCAAAAATGGTCCTTAATGAGTTCAATGTATAATTGACCTTCCCACCTTACTTACAAATTCTAAATGATACAGCAGAGGAAAAACCTTCTGAATGCAGCCCCAAATTATGTATGCAATGAGTGATAGATCTTCTATGATTGCATGATGTTCAACCTCATTTGCATTGGCTGTTCTTTTCCCTAAGATTGTTCACTCAGTTAAAAAATATTGTAAGGATATATTTCACATTTTTAAAAGCATTCTTTCCTGGTATTCCCTATATTTTGATGCAGAGGTGGTATTCAGCTGGTTTGAACTGGTTTGCCTGAACCGGTAGCGGAAATCACAGGTGCCCCCCCTCCCCCCAGCTCTATGCCATCCAATTTAGACACGTTTTTGAGCCTGGGCACATGCACAGAAGGTGCACATGTGAGCAAAGCATATGGCAGAAGGCAGGCGCGCAGGGTGAACTGGTAGTAACATAATGTGAAATCCACCACTGTTATTATGATGTCATCTTGATAACTTGCGATCAGTATCTAATCATTGTAGCCCTGATAAATAATATCTGACCTAATAAATATTTGAGTGGGAGATCACCAGCTAATTTGTACAGTAGCTTGAGAATTATGGGGGAAAAAACTGTGCTGGAAATAGAGAAGAGCAAAGAACATTAGTCTTACCAGAAAACCCCACATGTACTTATCGCTCGAATCCATAGGCAGTGATTCAATTCAAAAACTTTTTTATCTGACAAATACTTATCTTTTCTTCCAGATATGGATGACTGTTTTGAATGTTCTCAAGATCATTATCCAAATAAAGAAAAGAAAGGATGTATCCTGAAACTGCTGGTCTTCTTAGCTTTTGCAGAAACCTTAGGAATTGGTTTAGCTTCAGCAGCTCTTTGTTTTTTCTTGTTAACATCTTGGGTACTTGGAATTTGTATTAAGCACAGGGATACTCCCATTGTGAAAGCCAACAACCAGTCCCTCACCTACACCTTGCTTGTCTCTCTTCTGCTCTGTTTTCTCTCCTCTTTGCTCTTCCTCAGCCAACCTGGTGAAGCGACCTGCCTTCTCAGACAATCAACTTTTGGCATTACCTTCTCAGTGGCCATTTCTAGTGTACTGGCCAAAACCATCACTGTGGTTGTGGCTTTCATGGCCACTAAACCAGGATCT